CACGAGATTACTGTGTGATGGATGTCCTCCCCTGGGGTGGGATGGGTGGGTTTGTTGGAGCTTAAACCTCGTAGGGGACCTATGTCCTATTGTTTCTGCTCCAGTACTTTGTACAAATTCTTAAATACAAATACAACATCATATTATGGTTTCAGGCTTTAAGGTGGCTATCCACCTCGGACCACAGCAGCCCATTATTTATGACCTGCAATCCTGCAACTCAACTGTTTAGGTCAGTAGCTTATCTACATGTCATGTAGGCACCTAGGGCCTGTGTTTAGCAAAACCCATTATATTATACATTAGCAACATTGCAATGTACCAAATACATACCTTTCCCATTCTTTCAGGGTAGTAATCTTGATCAAGTTTTGCTATTCTTTTGAAGAAATTCAAGGTTTTCCTGTCCAAAAGACAATAGAAAAACATACAAAATTTATTCAATATGAATTTAGACAAGCTACTTAACAGTATATTGAAGTAGGGGTATAAATTTACATGCATTCTAGAGAATGAGAACCAAAACAAAATCAACTTGTACTGTTATGATCCTGTACAATTGTTGTCATTTCAAGTTCTAATCATTTTTAAAACAAGTAAGTAGCTGATGGGATCACACACTCAGAATCCTGTCTGCAATGATCCTATAGGATGAACTTGAATCATTACCCCATTAACCACCCAAGAGTGACCAGCATCTAATTTCTCCTTACAATATCACCCCTGAATCACACAAAAGGGTCAAGAGAATAAAGGAAATGATCAACAACTGTAAAAAAAGCTCTGGATCATTAAACAAATTCTCCTTGTAAGCACCCTTGGAAATGTATAGAGAACAGTATGGAGAATATACATACTGATGTTAGGGTGCAAACGGCTGATGGATTTACTTATTGATTCACCTTAGAAACATACTTGCTCCGGCCATATCATGAATATGAACCATTGTTTCTATTGGTTGTCCCTGTGAACCAAAGGAAAACAAAAACTGTGTAAAGAGTCTTTCTCAACAAATTGATCACTTTTCACAAAAAATAAAAACTATGCTGTGACTGTTACTGGGACTTGCAACAAAGAAGACATTCCAAGATTACTAGATTCACCCTTGTGCTCAGAACTAAAACTTTTTGTTACATGACTCGGGAAGTCAGAGGGCCAATAACTAAATCAACCAATCAAAATGCTCGCATAATTCAGCTTCCGTTATGTTATATATCAAACACTTCAATACTCAAAATGAAAAAAATTTTACAATCAATAAGATCAATAGCGGGAATAAGATCAACTCTTTCTACCAATTTTGAGGTGTATAGTCTCAATATAAGATAACTGCCACAAAGATTCCCTTACAAATTCCCGTGGAAGGTATTCTAGAGGGTTTAAGAACTCATCAATCTTCAATCCTTATGCATCATAAGTTATCTCAAAACCAGGTGCTCAACATTAAAATTAAAAAAAAAAAATCAAACAAACTTCATGCAATACAGAACAGCAGCATACTGAAAGACTATTAGCCTGGCATGTTATCGAAAAAATTGTCTACTTCCTTACTGACTCTTTCACTTATGAGTAAATGGTACAGATCTTCTTAATGATAGTCTCTTTAAAATGCTGCAATCTAATTGGCTATACAACTCACTATCTATCTAAAATGCTGCAATCTGATTGGCTACAAAACTCAGTATCTATTCTATGATAGATACTGAGTAAAGTGAGTACTGGCTAACAGTAAGATAAAACAAGAGCCTGTCTTGTTATATTTTCAAAGAGTAGTATGTTTACACCAAAGTACTTGTTTGAGATGCTATTAAGCAATGATTGATTCTGCCTTTACCCTCACCCACTATCACACCATGGACATCTCCAGCTCCTCATCTGCGTGAATGAATATAGTATTCTAGAAGACACCTTTAACAATACTTGCTGTTTAGGAATTTTCTTTGTTGCCATTGGTTGAAATTTCTTCATCAGAATCTACCTCGCTGACCATGACGTGGTACCTAGTAAGGATCAGAAATCTTACAATGAATATTTTTTTTTGCACCAAGAAATATTACATGCAACTTAAAAGAGACAACAAAATATAAGTTTGGCAAGAAAGATAAACAACAGAACTGAGATAATAATAAATAGATATGGGACGATGATTTCGGCATGATCAGGGAACTTGTGAGGCCAAGTAAAATACACAGATGGTGATGGATGTAACACAGGGGTCAAATGTTGGGCATGCCCAAGGGGATCAGATCTGACCAGCCATGCACCAATTTCCCATGCAAAATTTCAAAAGAAACATAACAAACAACTGCTGTGTTGCAAAATATTATGCAAAAGAAAATTGAAATGCACATAGAAATCTTTAAAAGAAAGAGAAGTAGAGAAAAAGAAAACTCAAGACTTGTGAACATAAAGCTAAAACAAATGTGGGTATCCTGGTCATTTATCATTCTAACTCCTAACCCTGGAACACTGTGACTCACTGGTTTGTGTCGTTGTTTGTAATTTGTGTGAGACAACTTAGTTCTGACAGCCTGAAAACAGGCCATCTGGTTATAACAACATTCCTACATGCACAGATGTTTGACTACTGTGTTGATGGGCATAGCCCTTTAGCTGCCTAGACATGAACATGATCGATGTCACATTTCTCGAAAGTTCTGGTAAGATAACAAGCCCAAAGCTAATTTTAGAATCAAAATTCAAAGAATCAAGAAGCAGTTTCCAGCACCCCAACTGAAAGTTTTTGTTACAAAGGGTTGGAATGTCTTACTTGATTGTTCTTGAGAGCCACTTGCAGTTTGAATTGTCCCATACCAAGGTGCAGATACCAGGACAAGGCGGAGTGTAGAAACTGAAAAGTTGTGGACAAGTGTCAATCAAAAAACAAACTTACCAGCGAGAGAGATATTGACTTTAAATGCTAGACCCAGAATGGGTGTATACTAGTGTACTATGCAAATATTGAGGGGGTGTCAGACCTTAAAAAAGCTCAATAACAGAAGGACACAATAGATTTCAGATATTGGGTGGGTTTACTTTGAGTTAAAGGTTGATAGACAACTGTCAGGAATTGAATGGGTTACTCAGGATGAGGGATTGACAGGTATCAAAAACTGAAATGGTCTACCAAATAGAAAGAGATTGACTAATGCCATAATAGGAAACATTGTAATGGATGTCTACCTAGCCAATTTCAGTGCCCCTGCACTTGGTCAAGAAAGGATAGAAAGATTGCTATTAATAATGTCATGGTGATGAGGTAAACTTTCAAACTAAAGGTAATTGATTTTTAATTATTTCTCCTTTAAGTGATCCCTGAAGTAAGTAATAACATGAACAAACATATCAGCCTGATATCGATGTTAAAACAGATTCTCTTCACTCATTTACAGCTGACTATCCTTTAAAAACTACTAAATATTTGAGGTTTCAACAAAACCTGACTCGGACCAGATCTGTCCATTCGTTTGGAGTGATAACCTATCCATTCGGCCTTTATGGTAATTGCTTTTCATGAGCTGTTAAAATTAATTGTACACCCATTCATCCATCTATGTCGACATGTTCGAAAATTTTCACAAGCTGTACAGTCGTTTGCATGACCTGTTCGATAATTTACACAAGCTATTCAGTCATTTGGGTAACCCGTTTGATAATTTTAACATGCAGTTCAGTTGTCTGCATGATGTGTTTGAAAATTTTGACAAGCATTTCAGTCGTTTGGGTAACCTGTTTGAAAATTTACACAAGCTGTTCAGAATACTTGATAACCTGTTCAACCATTTGATAACATATCCGTTTGAACAGGTGAGTAACCTGTTTGTTCCCCATTTGGTAGCGGTGCATATCACCCGTTTAATGGAAAGCTGTTAGTGTATGTTTTTCTGTGAGAGGTCACTTATTACATATCTGTTCAAGGGGAGAATTATGCACAAGATCCAACCTTACCCAGTCACTGATGTATCACATTCTGAAATTGGCTCCAGTTCCTCCACCCAGATTTCTTCAATTTCATTTTCATTGTCTTTCCATCCTGAATGAGGCTTGGCCTTGAATTTAAGTCCAAATTGAATATCTTTACTATGAAACAAGAAATATTGATGAACATCATAAGACCAGTATACAGACTCAGTTTAAGTTTAATTAATTGGCCACAGGAATGGCAGGAGAGAGGAACAGAACTTTCATTCCAATTGATACCTAACCCTTTTTTTATGCACCCATCCCATCCCGGGGAGGACATCCATCACACCGTAATCTCGTGTGTGGGAAATTAACATCTCCTACCCCAACCCTGCAGGAGACGGGACCTCCATTTATCGTCCCTATCCGAGAAGACTAGAAAGTCTAACCATTTGCAGTTATTATTACAAAGGCAGCACTTTCTTCTCAGTTAATTAAAGACCCTTAGTGTTGGTCCGGCCGGATTTGAACTCATGATCTCCCACACAACAGTCTGGCGCTCTACCAATTGAGCTAATCGGGAGGCGGTTAGCACTTTTCTCCGCACTTTTCTTGTAAGATTATATGACTGTGTAGAATATCCTGGCAGTATTTAGGCCAAGATGAATTAAACATTTGTCTCTGGATAATTTTAAAAATATCTCAGAGCCAAATATTCTCCCCTCCAGGCCCTCCACTCTGCAAACAAGTACATACTAAACAAGGGCACCAGTCTAAAAAAAAAAACCTTTCACTAACAATTGCAACATTTTAAAGAGTTAAGGCAGTTTATCAATTGAATATAGATGCTGCTTTATGTATGTGTATAGATACCAAATCCTGTTAATTTATGATTCTAACTCCTAACCATAAAACCACGCAAGAGTCACCTTGTAGCTTTAAAATACCACGCTATAGACGTGTCACCTTTCTTGTTGTCACAGTTTACCTTGTAAGTAAAAGATTTCTTGGGTCCTGCAAGGATATAATTTCTTTAAAATTCACAATCTTGTTTTATAATGTTACTCAAGTATCAAAATGTGGAGAGTCAAGGCTTAATTGTTTTCATCAAAGGTAAGGTCACGCAGAGATGAATTCAGTAAGAGTTCCAAGAGCACTATAGACTGAATAAAAATGGCAAATAGGAGTTATTATGATAAGCAATGAATAAGTTCAGTGTTCATAAAAACATCAGAAAATTTCCTTTATTATTTATTCGATTCAATTATGACCCTGGGGACTACAATCTACACTTGGTGACAAAACTGTGGACAAATTGTACTTTTCAACCCTGTTTTAATTCAGTTTTATCTCTTGTCTGTGTTAAGTTAACCATTTTGCCCCCTCCCCCCCAAGACAATGTTTTATCGTGATTCCATGATCATTGAAGAGGGGAGGGGATGTGTTAATGATTTAGAGTGTGATGGAAACAGAAGTGTTATTCTTCACATGAATAGAACTCTTTGATGATGTGTCCACTAATTTTGACACTGATTGCTGGTAAAGAAACATTGCTGAGGGGTGTGGGGCGGGGACACACCTCTTGTCCCTCATTCTTGATTCATCATCACCCCCCTGATTAACCCTTTAACTCCCAAGACCTGATTGTTAATTCTCCCCTCTGGCTGCCTCACATTTGGTGTTATATTGAGAAGACAACATCTACCTGACAAGTTTGAATATTCTCATTACCTGTTTGCTGGATGATGTATGGATATTATAGGGAGAGGTTACATGTTAATCACTATTGCGACATAAAGGGTTAAGACTCCCCACCTTTTAGGTATTGTTTTGGATGTAGAATGACATACCTACTGTCTGCTCTATAAGTTGTGGATTGTCTTTAACTTCTAGCTACAAAAAATAAATTTTAATTTTTATCATTAAAAAAAAAATAAAAAAATTATTCACTCACGTATCACCTAAGAGCTAATAGCTCGTTTAAAATGTGAACATGAAACTAATTACAAATAATTGAGCAAATAAGAACTAATATTAAAAGATAAAAGTATTGAAAAGCTTTATTTTATCTAATTTGTATGTACTCTATAATTATTAAGCGAAAGTGCATTAAAAATCGAGTTAAAGCCTCGCCATAAACGAATGCAACGCTTAGTCCTTAGGATGTAGTAATTAGTGTCCTCTAACTTATTTTTGAGCCATTACTTATTCCTAGCAGGAGTGGGCTACAATACTCTAAGTGGGGTAGTACATATGCTTTGTAAAGGTGAATCATAACTTCTTGTGGCATAAACTTACGCAGCTTACGCATGGCAGCTGCCTTAGCACACGCCTTCTTAAGTTGTACTTGTATATAGGGCTTAAATGTTATTCTTTCATCTAAAATGACACCAAGAATCTTCAGACTATCAGTCAGCTCTATATTATTATCTTGTAGATTAATATTATATCTATAATTTAAATAAATCATAAAACAAAATATATCATAACTGTGTAGGGAAAAGGGATAAAAGAATAATAAAGCTGATTAAAAACTGTGTACATGCCTTAACCGGATATTTGCTTGAAATAAATACAAGCTATAATGTATCTCAGTCTCCATGATGGTATCAGATGGTAAAACAACACACAACACAACAGATTGTGTAGTGTTTGTGTTCATGATAAGTCCATGAATATTTTAACAATTATTCCATGAGTGCGCGTTGGATATGAGATGATAGACAGCTAACGAGGCACATAGCGCCGAGTTGGCTATAATCATCTCATATCCAACAAGCACAAGTGGAATAATTATATTATCAAAAACATTAAATATTAAATTTTATTAAAATTTTAGCTCCCTTTTAATTCTAAGCTGACGCGTGCGCTTACCATATTTGTAGATTACGGTATATTGGCTCATATACCATAATGGCTAAGCCAATAAAAAGTCGTATATGAGCACGATCCTTCGCAGTAAAGCACTATTTGAGCAATAGTGAAAATCAGACCTGAAAAAAATTTCAGGCCTGTACCCCT